TTGGTCTTTTTGAGACAGGGTCTCCCTGTAGCCCCAGCTGTCCTAGAACGCCTGTCCCCCCTCCCCACCCCCAATGCTGGGATTAAAGGCGTGCACCATCACACCTGGCAAAAAAGAAAATTATTATTTTTATTTTATGCGTATGAGTATATTGCCTGCATGTATGTGAGTGCGCCTGTGTCGTGCATGCCGCAGAGGTCAGAAGAGGGCTTCAAATTCCCCTGGAACTGGAGTTAAGGATGGTTCATAGCCACCATGTGGGTGCTGGGAATCGAACCCCGGTCCTCTGCAAGAGCAGTCCGTGCTCTTAACCACTGAGCCATCTCTCCAGCCCCAGAACTTTTTTTTGAGACAGCATCCTGAAGAGACTCACACACCTGCATGCTGGAGGCCCCCTCCCCTCCACCGAGGGGACAGAGAACTCCGAACATTTATCTTAGGAACAATCTGTGGGCCATAAGCTAAGAACATCCTGCCTCAATGCAGGTAGCCAATGGCTACAAAGGTTGTGGGTTCTGGAAATCCCCTCCAAGTATTCTAACCCTTTCCTGGTACTTCTGCTTTTTGTTGCTATGGAAATCCCCTGCTTTGGTAGGTTTTGTGGTTTTTATGCTTAAAAGCCCTGCATTTTCACAGTCGGAGGTCTCAGCACAGCTCTGGAGTCTGTCTGTGTCCCCAGCTGCTTTGTTCCAATAAAGCACTTGTATTGTACTGAGACTCAGTGTCCAAGTGGTCAAGTCAGCAAAGTCTTTGGACCTGGAACAATCCTAGTTTCCTTTCCTCTTGCTGTGACAAAAACAACTTTAATGGAGAAAGGGCTTATTTGGTGTCCAAGTCAAGTACAGCCCATCGCTGGAGGGAAATCAAGACAGGAACTTGATGCAGGTAGTCATATCCACAGTCAAGAGCAGAGAGAAAAATCTCAGCTTGCTGTTTCTTCTTTTACTCAGTTCAGGAAAAAGCCGGGGGTATGCTGCTACCCACTTTTAAAAACACCTGGGTCTTCTGACATCAATTTAGGACAATCCCCAACAGACATGCCCACTGGCCAACCTGATCTCAACCACCATCCCCCACACCTTTCGGCATCCTGGTCCCCATTATAAGTTGGAGTTATAGCCAGTTATGAGTTGACTGACGACTCCCACACAACAATGTAGGGGCTAGAAATGGAACTTGGGTCCTTTGCAGATGCTCTAAATACTCTTAATTATTGAGTTATATCTCCAGGTCTTGTTAAATTTATTGTTAAATGTTTTATATTTTTGTTATTTTTGTACATGATATATTTATTAAAATTTCTATTGAGGAGCTGGGTGTGGTGGCCCAAGCTTTTAATCCCAGCACTCAGGAGGCAGAGGCAGGCGGATCTCTGTGAGTTCAAGGCCAGCCTGGTCTGCAAAGGGAGTTCCAAGCCAGCTGGGGCTACAGGGAGACCCTGTCTCAGAAAAGACCAAAAAAATAAATAAATAAATAAATAAATAAATTAATTAATTAATTAAAATAAAAGATATACAAAAAGTCTGGAAATGAATGTGATGTACCTTATAGTTAGCAAACAGTCACAACATTTTGCCTGAGCACGCTTTGCTAAAATTTGTTTTCTCCCCCTATCTAGAAGCCTTTGAGAGGGAACTAACACTCCAACAGCTATCAAAGTGTCTGAAAACAAATTCTGAGTCCATCACTCTCGAGTCCAGCCTTGGCAGACAAAAGAAAAATGAAGAGAAACCCAATAGAGGGATGCTTTTGGAAGCCCTTGTCAAGAAATTCCAATGGACTCACATATGAACATTTGAAACTTGTTCTGTTCTGACTTCTTTCTAGTTCTCTGTCTAGATAAAAATACATAAATAAATAATAAGTCAAAGAAGAAGAAAGAGTATATGAAGTTATCAGAAAAAAGTGATAGGGAGATATGGGAGGAGTTGGAGGGGAGGGAGTGGGCATGGATTTGATCAAAACACCTTATATGCATGTATGAAATTCTCAATAAATTATTTTTAAAAATTTCTATTGAGGGACTGGACAGATGGGTCAGTGGTTACGAGCACTGGCTGCTCTTGCAGAGGACCTGGGTTCAATTCCCAGCACCCACATGGTGGCTAACAATCATCCATAACTCCAGTTCCAGGGGATCCCATACCCTCTTCTGGCCTCCATAGGCATGATACATGGCATACATGTATTTTTATTTTACATGTATTTTGCATACATGTATGTATGTGAACCATATGCATGCAATGCCTGTGGAGGCCAGAAGAGGGGGCAAGTCCCTGGAACTGGAGTTACAGGTAGTTGTGAGCTGGTGGATGTGGGTGATGGGAACTGAACCAGGGTCCTTTGCAAGAGTTTTAAGTGTCCTTTCTTTTGTCTATCATCTGTTCCCTCTCTGGTGTGAGTAGACATTTGTTCCCATCTTCCAAACAATGGTGTCATACAGTAACCTCCTGGGTTTGCAGGTATATGCTACCACATCTGGGTTATTTGGGATCAAACCCATGAACTTATCACACTTCTTAACCATCTAAGCATCTCTCTAGCCCTGGAATTTTTTGTATATTGATCTTGAAATGAGAAACCTTGCTAAACTCACTGAATTCTCAAAATTCTTTTCTAAATATTTATTATTTTTAATTTTTTATATGTGAATGTATTGCCTGCGTGTATGTAAGTGCACCTGTGTCATGCAATGCCCACAGAAGTTGGGGGGGGGGCATCGGATTCCCCTGGAACACGCAGTTCCATGTGAATGAGTGCTGGGAATCGAACCTGGGTCCTCTGTAAGAGCAGCCAGTCCTCTTAATTGGTGAGGCATCTCTCCAGCCCCCTCACATTTCTTTTAGGATTATAATCCATTTCATCAACAAACATTGGAATTCTTATTTCTTCTGCATTTTTTGTTGTTTATTGGGCCAGCTAAGACCTTCATGATTGTACTGATGAAGGTTATGGAGAACAATTAATCCGTACCGTGCTCCACCTTAACTGGTGAGGGGCACTCATGTATGCTGAGCAGGTGCTCTAAGACTGAGCCTTAGCCCCTTTGTAGGATTTCCTTTTGTAAGTATGTGCTCTATGTTTATGTGTCCGTGGAGGCCACAGTCGACAATGGGTGTCTTCAATCGCTTTCATGTTATTCATTTATTCATTTACTTTTTTTTTTTTTTTTTTTTTTTTTGTTTTTTTTTCAAGAGGTCTCCCTGTAGCCCCAGCTGTCCTGGATTCACCATGGAGACCAGGCTGGCCTCGAACTCACAGAGATCCGCCTGCCTCTGCCTCCCGAGTGCTGGGATTAAAGGCGTGCGCCACCACGCCCGGCCTCATTTACTTTTTACTTACTTATTTTGGTCTCAGTATGTAGCCTAGAACTCGCTATGAAGACCAGGCTGGCCTTGATCTCCCAGAGATCCTCCTGCCTCTGCCTCCCAAGTGCTGGGATTAAAGGCGTGCACCACCACAGTCGGCTTGGAATTGTGAATTTTTGCCTTTGTTAAACAAAGGTTATGCCTGTGCGGTCTGAAAAGCCTAAAATACTCCATAACCGACGCAGAAAGCCCTGTCTGGGTTCGAGACTCGGAAGGCTCTAAGATGTTTCAGTACCAGGATGAGATTCCAGGTGGACAGGTGAGATAAGAGAGCAGACCGCAGAGCCGCAGACAGCACTTCCCACGGTCGGATGGGCAGAGGACCGATCAGCTCCCTTGGAGGGCGGCGTGCACTGACCGCGGTACCCGACAGGGGGCGCGCGCTCCGCACCTCACCTGCTCAGGGCCCGTTTGCGCACGCGCTAGGCCTTCCCTTACGCGGCTCCGCCGCTCCCCTGACACCTCCCCTCCGAGTGTTTAACAGCCAGTTACGTAGGTGCGGAGTCCTCACGCATCTCTGGCGTAACTAGAGGCTGCGGGAAGCCAAGCGGAAGTGCAGCGCGCTCCCTGACCCAGGAGCGGAGAGGTCGCGGATGGGGAGTGAGGCCGGATCCGGAAGTGCAGAGCGCCGCGGTGTCGTGAAGTGGGCGCGGGCCGAGGGGGCGTGGCCTAGGAGGTGGCGGGCGCTGTTATTGGCCAGCGGCGGTGGCGCCGGCCCCGATTGGCTCATGCGTACTGAGCGGGCGCGGATCGTGGCCGGCGGTTGAAATTCAAACGCGGTGGGTGTGGCGCGGGGCCGGTAGCCGCCCGTTCCGTGGCGCGCGGCTTCCGTGTGGCGCGAGTCGGTGCGGGAACGCGAGTCCCGGGAGCCCCGGCGCCTGCGCCGTTCCTTTGCATCCCATCGGGCGTGGGCCGCGGTGCACATGGAGCCTCAGGTGAGTGCGGCCGCCCGGCGGGTGGCCCGGCAGGCCCCGGGCATGCTTGCCCGCCTGCACCGGGAGGGCCGGGCTCCGCTGCACCCCGGCGGGGGGCATGCACACCTGCGCCCCGCGCTGCCAGGAGCCGCGGGCCACTTGGAATTCTCAGGCCTGTCTGGCGGGTCTCGGTCTCCCCAGTCTTACAGATTCGGAGCCACCCTGCACCTCCGGGGCCAGATCCTTACTGCTGTCCCCTTGGGTTGCTGAGGCTTCGGGATGTAGGAGGGGGAGAGGAGGCCTGGGGCATACCAGTAGGACCTGGCCGATGTAGCTCTTTAACTGTTCTGAGTACCCTCCTGTTCCCACAACCATCTGTCTGCAGCACCCCACCTCTTCAATGGAAAGAGGTGTATGTGTGTACTGACCTCCAACCAGAAAGAGCCAGCCCACATTCTTTGCTTACTAGTATTTCACTGAGCTACATCTCCATCCCAAATGGTGTAGGAGAATGGAAAAGTCAAAGCCCGCCTGGATTACAGTTGACGGCCGTCCTCGGCAACTTGGCGAGACCGTATCTCTTACCCAGACAGAGTGCACAGTGCCCCAGGTTAAATCCCATGAGCTAAAAGAAAGTTAATACTAACTTTTATTAACAATACTAGTATTGTTGATGATAGAACTAGGTTCAGACAGAGTCAGCATTGAACCTGAAGAGATTTTTGGGTTTGGTACACTAACGGCCAAAGAGGAGAGCAGTGCGCTGTGACAGTGAAAAATAGTAAAAGCCATCTCGGGTCTATTCGTGAAATATTTGCAGAGCACCTCCTGTGTACCAAGCACAGTTGTTATGTAGGAGGCACAAGTCCCGGCCATCAGAGGGCCAGGGGGAGAAAGCATAAACTATCCGAATACAGTTAAGGGCTGTGGAGAAAAGGTTCAAGCATGTTGGGGGTGGGGCAGGAGGCGGGGCACCATTAAATCAGGTGAGGAGGGTAAACACAAGAAGCTGTTGATGGTCAGTGGTAGAGGATGCATGAAACTCTTGGTTCCAAAAACAACTACAAAAATCTTTTGAGATGTGAGTGAAGATGCCAGGTGGGTTTAGTGACACGAAGCTGCTGGTGTATTTTAGGAGAGTAGTTTTGTTGGAATGGTGGAAGTGAGATTTGTTCAGGAGAGAAACTGAACATGGTGAATGTTCTAGATATTATATATATATGTAATATATATATTAATTATATGTATGAGTGTTTTGCCTGCATGGATGTTAAGTGTGTGAAGACCCCAGGAGGCCAGAAGAGATACCCTGGAACTGGAGTTAAGGACCGCTAGCTGCCATGTGGGTGCTGGGAATTGAACCAGAGTCCTCTGCAAGAGCAGCCAGTCATCTCTCTAGCCCCTAACGGTATGAATTTTGAGTTTGCTGCAAACAGCAGTAGGGAGAAAGGACAGTAACTGCCAGAGAGCAGGGTCAAGAGAGCATTTGTTTAAGGTTAGAGGAAATAATAGTGTATTGATTGGAAGCATTGACTAGAGTGAAAAACTGAAGGTGTTGAAGAGAGAAGGGAGGCTGTTGGAAAGATGTTCTGAGCTAGTTGGGAGGGTCAGTGTCGGTCAGATGGAGGGTTTGCCTTGGGAGCTGGCCTTCATCTGTGATTCTCAGGAGGTAGGAGGCTGGATGGATGTTGCTGTATTGAATGTCAGCTGCTTATGTTTTTATCCTGCAGAGTTGGGGATCATTATGTCTAGCTTTACAGATGGGGAGAAATACTATGTATACTGGTAAAAGTTGTCCAGAATAAACAAGCCTTTGCGGGGGGGGGGGGGAGCAAACACGAAAAGTTCTTTTCCATTCATCAGTCAATAAGTTTTTATTTTTTTAAATTTATTTTTATGTGAATGAGTGTTTTGCCTGCATGTATGTACATGCCCCATGTATATGTGCAGTGTCTTTGGAGGTCAGAAGAGGATGTTGGATCCCTGGAACTGGAGTTATGGACTGTTAGCCATCATGTGGGTGCTGGGAACTGAACCTAGGTTGAGCAGCCCATGCTCTCAAAGACTGAGCCATCTCTCCAGCCTCAAGTTTTTATGTTTTGAGATAAAGTCTACTATGTAGCCCAGGCTGGCCTCAAACTTAGATTCTGCTGAGGGCTGGGATGTCAGGCTTGTACCGTAACATATAACTGCTCTTTTTTTTTTTTTCTTTTTAAAGTTTTCTTTCTTTAATGTACATAGGCTGAGAACCAAAGGTTAGTGAACATTTCTTTTTTTGTGTGTTTATATTAAGACAAGAGTCTCACTTTGTAGCTCTAACTGGACTGGAACTGGCTATGTAGTCCAGCCTGGCCTCAAACTCACAGAAATCTGCCTGTCTCTGCCTTCCAAGGGCTGGACATTACTTTTTTTTTTGGCCTTTTAGAAACAGGGTCTCACTGTAGTCCCAGCTGTCCTTGAACTCACTGTATAGACCAGGCTGGCCTTGAACGCACAGGGATCCACCTGCCTCTGCCTCCTGAGTACAGACATGTTCAACCTTTTGACATTGTGATATGACATTGTTTTTTACAAACATGTTTGGCCTCCATTCACGGCTTAGCCTGGGATGGATGGGTTATAGGTTGGGCATGCCTGGCTAGTTCTTCATAATTTTACTTTCAAACATTGCCAAGTATGTGGCAATTAAGGAATTTGGAAGAAAACCAGCAAAAAAAAAACAAAAACAAAAACAAAAAACCTGCTACCACAGTTACTGTTGCACACTACAAAGACAGCTTTTTTTTGTTTTTGAAAAAGGGTCTCAAATAGCCCAGGCTGGCCTTGAACTATATATAGCTGAGGATGCCTGGCTAGGACAGCTTCCTATATACCTCTATACACAAATTCAGTTGCATATAAAAGGTAACCTATTCAACAGCTGAAGGAGAAAGAAATGATGACTTATATCCTTTAGCATTGTCATACAGTTCAAGTGGTGGTGCAGCTATCAATCAGCCTGTGAGTTTGAGGGTTTGAAAGCAAGGCTTTGCGTGTTTATTTACTTTACTGGAGGCGCGTATGTGTGCCTGGGTGCACCTAAGGGGAAGAGGACAACTTTCACCAGGTGGGTCCTGGGTGTTCAGTTCAGGTTTGGCAGCAGGCCTTACCTGCTGAGCCGTCTCGCTCGCTGGTCCTCTTTGTTTTTGGTACTGGGGACTAAACCCGAGACCTTCCTGTATGCTCTACCCATGAGCTATGCCCCAGCCTTATCTTTTTCTTTTTTAAAAAAACCCTAGCTGGAGACAGTCTTGCTAAGCTGTTAGGCTGGCACCTGGAACTCGGAGTCTTCCTGCTTCAGCCTCCCAAGGGGATGGGATCACAAGCACCTGCTACCGTGCCTGGCCAAGACCTTCTCTTGAACATGAATTCAAAACAACTTAGATTCCTTAGGCTTTGCAGTATGTACAGGAATATATAGGTACTGAGGAGATTAACATTTGGTCTCCAGTAGTTATCAGTGCAGTCACCATGACCCAGTCTTGCAGGACCCCGTTTTGTTTTGTGTTGTGTTGTGTTGTGTTGTTTTGTGTTGTTTTGTTGTCTCTTTGAGACAGGGTCTCCCTGTAGCCCCAGCTGTCCTGGAACTCACTATGTAGACCAGGCTGGCCTTGAACTCACAGAGATCCCCCTGCCTCTACCTCTCAAGTGCTGGGATTAAAGGCGTGCGCCACCACGCCATTTTGTTTTTTTGACAGGGTCTTCCCTGTACCCACAGCCAGCCTGGAACTCACTATGTAGACCAGGCTGGCCTTGAGCCCACAGAGATCTGCCTGCCTCTGCCTCCCAAGTACAGGGATTAAAGGCGTGGGGACACTATGCCCAGCTCAGTCTAGACTTTTTTGAGGGTCTTTTTGAGACAGGGTCTCCCTGTAGCCCCAGCTGGCCTGGAACTCACTATGTAGACCAGGCTGGCCTTGAACTCACAGAGATCCTGCCTCTGCCTCCTGAGTGCTGGAACTTCAGGCGTGCGCCACCATGCCTGGCCCAGTCTAGGCTTTTTTAAAAAAATTCATTTTTATTTTTATGAGTTCCTGCTTCTGCCTCTGCCTCCTGAGTGCTAGGATTTAAGGTGTGTACCACTGTTCCTGGCAGGACTCTGCCTTTTTAAAGGTGTATTTATTTTTATTTTACGTGTATGAGTGCCTGCTTGTATGGATGTGGACCACATGTGTGCCTGCTGCCTGCAGAGGCCAAAGGAGGGTGTCGGATCCTCTGGAACTGGAGTTTTAATCGGTTATGAGGTGCCAGTTGGGGGCTGGAAACCTGGGTCCTCTGCAAGAGCAGCAAGTGCTGTTAACTGCTGAGCCATCTGCAGCCCCAGGGTCCATCCTAATGACCCAGTATTTGCCATAAGTGTTTTAGTTCTTCATCTTCACCTTCTGGATTATCTGTACTGGGAATTAAGTGCTTATGGACAATCAGAACCCTACTCCAGGCTGGAATTTCGAAGCTCATTATTGTGTACGCCTTTAATCCCAGCACTCAGGAGGCAGAGGCAGGCAGGCACTCTATGAAATCTAGGCCAGTCTGGTCTACATAGCAAGTTCCAGGCTAGCTGGGGCTATAAGGAGACCCTGCCTCAAAACAAACCAAAGAATTTCAGGAAATTCCTTACTTATGAGCTGAAATCAACAGAGCTGTCCTTCTAGAGGCACTTTTGTACAGTTGCTTTTTAAGTGGGAACAGGTAGTGCTGTGCTCCAGGCTGAGGTGCTTTGTTGGCTGGATATACTTGTTGCCCATGTGATTGACTCCCCAGGGTCAGCCAGCATGCAGACGATTGGGGTTTGGGGCAAGACCATAAATGCTGGCTACTTCAGCACTGGTGGGCTGGCCACACACATACTTCAGGGTTGGGGTTTTTTTTTTTTCTTTTTTTTCTTTTTTCTTTTTAACAGAGTCACTGTGGAACCCTGGTTGGCCTGGAACTGCCTATGTAGACCAGACTGGCCTTGAACTCAGTGATCTGCTTACCTTTGCCTCCCCTGTACTGGGATTAAAGGTGAGGTCCACAACGCCCAGCCCCTAGCCTCCAGTTTTCTGAGTCTTGCTCAACGCCTAGCCCCTTCTCCAGAGCAATTTATTTTTGAAATTTATTTTTTGAGGCAAGGTGTTACTATGTAATCCTAGTTGGTCTCCAACTCAAGAGATCCACCTTCCTCTGCCTCCCAAGTGCTGTGATTAAAGGTGTGGGCCACCTTGCTCAGATTCCCCTGGAACTGGAGTTAAGGACAGTTCGTAGCCGCCATGTGAGTGCTGGGAATTGAACCCGGGTCCTTTGCAAGAGCAGTCAGCGCTCTTAACTGCTGAGCCATCTCTCCAGTCCCTATATATATATATTTTTTAATTAAATTAAATCAGACCTTCCTCCTGTGATATGGGTAATAGAACTAAGAGATACTCTGGAGTCAGTCTAGATATTTTTGGGGGGGGGTCTTTTTGAGAGAGGGTCTCCCTGTAGCCCCAGCTGTCCTGGAATTCACTATGTAGACCAGACTGGCCTTGAACTGCCTCCTGAGTGCTGGGACTAAAGGCGTGCGTCACCACGTCTGGCTCAGTCTAGACTTTAAAAATTTTATTTATTCTTTTTGTCTTTTTGAGACAGGGTCTCCCTGCAGCCCCAGCTGCCCTGGAACTCACTATGTAGACTAGGCTGACCTTGAACTCGTAGAGATCCCCCTTCCTTTGCCTCCTGAGTGCTGGGACTAAAGGCGTGTGTCAGCATGCCTGGCGAAAAAATTTATTTTTATGTGTATGAGTGTTTTGCCTGCATGTTTGTAAGTGTACCTGTGTTGTACAATGCCTGTGGAGGCCAGAAGAGGTCATTGGATCCCCTAGAACTGGAGTTACACACAGTTGTTAGTCACAGTGTGGGTGCTGAGCACTGAGCCTGGGTCTTCCACAAGAGCACTCTGTGCTCTTTACCACTGAGCCATCTCTGCAGCCCAAGCATAGACCCTTGGCTGGCTCCCTGGCTCTAAGCCAGCTCCTAGTTAGATCAACACGAGGTATCAGGTAATCCATGGTCTCAGGTAATCGGTTCTCTTCTCAACCCCACTGTCGGCCTTGGTGGTGCTCCGTTGTCCCAGATGGACTTCTTATTGCTTCATGCCGAGTTCCATGGAAATTAGGTCCTGGTGGTTGAGGGCATTTCTTATTCTAGTGAATTAGATTGTCTTCGTTAGGCATTCTGAATAGTAAGAGTGCTCATGTTCTTGAGAAAATAGATCATTTTCTATAGTTAAATCCTCTTACACAATTCCATTTAGAAACATTGCCCTAGAAAATAAGCTCTGGGAAGGCAAGGACTTTGTTCATCACTCTTGGCTGAGTATCCAAAGGCATGGTCTGGTGCAGAACAGCTGTTCACCAAATCTGTGTGGGATGGATAATGCAGTCCCTTCTGCATGTAAGGTTTCTCGTCTTCCGTCTTCTACCTGTATTCGTTTCCACATGCTCATAGGTCACTTTTCTTTCTTTTGAGACAGGGTTTTGCTCAGAAGTTCAGCCAGGCCAGCCTTGACTCTGATGGTCTTCCTTCCTCAGCCTCCTGAGTGCTGGGATTGCAGTATGCCTACGTGTGCTCCCCAGGTCACTTCTTGGGACAGATTTAATTGTACTCTTCTGATTCTCAGGTGCCTCCTCCCTTGAGGGTCTAGACTCCTCTTCAGTACAGCAGCCAGCAGTCTCTTCCCTCAGTCTTGTTTTCAACTCCCTTTCTGGGTACGACCCACGTGTTCTGCTCAGCACATACTTACTTATCTATGTGCTGACTTCCTGACTAGATCTTGACCAGGTTCATCAAACCAACTTTTTTTTTTTTTTTCTGTCTTTTTCAGACAAGGTCTCCTGTAAACCCTGCTAGCCTAGAAACCACTCTGTAGACCAAGCTGGCCTTGCACTCTGCCTACCTGTCTCCTGTGGAGATTAAAGACATGCTCTACCATGCCCAGCTCTTTTTTTTTTTTTGGATACAGGGTCTCCCTGAAGCCCCAGCTGGCTTGGAACTTGCTTTGTAGACCAGGCTGGCCTTGAACTCACAGAGCTCCACCTGCCTCTGCCTCCTGAATGCTGGGATTAAAGGCATGCACCACCATGCCCGGTCTTAAATCTATCTTCTCATACTCTGCCTAATATTACTACATGGATCAGTGAGGTTTGATCCAATGCCTTCTCTGCTGTGTGGCCTTTGCTCAGAGCTCTGAGCTGGGCACAGGAGAACACTTCAGAGCTGTGAAGGAGGCACCAGTTTTCTGCCTCGCCTCGAACTCACAGAGATCCACCTGCCTCTCCTGCCTCTCCTTCCCGAGTGCTGGGATTAAAAGCGTGTGCCACCTACCCCGCTCTTTTCTTTTTTTAAAGATTTTTTTTTTTTTTTTTTTTAATTTCCAAGCTAGGTATGGTGGCACATGCCTTTAGTCCCAATACCAAGAAATCAGAGGCGGGCAGATCTCTGAGATCAAGGCTAAACTGGTCTATATAGTGAATTCCAGGCCAGCTGGGGCTACATGGAGACCGTCTCAAAAAAAACAAATGGGCTGGAGAGATGGCTCAGTGATTAAGAGCTCTTACTGTTCTTTTTTTTTTTTTTAATATTTTGTTTTTATTTTATGTGTATGCATGTATTGCCTGCTTGTAAGTACACCCTTGTCATGCAATACCCACAGTGGACAGAAGAGGCTGTCAGATCCTCTGAAACTGGAGTTATGGACAGTTGTTAGCTTCCATGTGGGTGCTGGGATTTGAACCCAGGTCTTCTGTAAGAATAGTCAGTGTTCTTAACCTAGCTGAGCCGTCTCTCCAGCCTCCAAGAGCACTAACTGTTCTTGAAGAGGACCCAAGTTCAGTTCCCAGCACCCACATAGCAGCTAACAACTGTCTGTAACTCCAGTTCCAGGGGATCCAACCCCATCTTCTGACCTCTGTGGGCACTGCACGAGTATATGCAGGCAATACACTCATGATACACATAAAATAATTTTTTAAAAAACTGATTTTTAAAAATTTTATTTTATTTTATTTTGGTCTTTTTGGGACAGGGTCTCTCTGTAGCCCCAGCTGTCCTGGAACTCACTATGTAGACCAGTCTGGCCTTTGCACAGAGATCCGCCTGCCTCTGCCTCCCCAGTGCTGGGATTAAAGGCGTGAACCACCACGCCTGGCTGAAAAACTGATTTTTAAATGTGGGTATGTGGGTATGTTTGTATGAATGGCTGTCATACGAGGCCAGAAGATGGTGCTGGGTCCCCTGGAGCTGGTGTTGTGATGTTGGTGCTGGAAACTGAACCAGAGTCTGCTACAAGAGCAGCCAAGTGCTCTTAACCGCCAGTCCATCTCCACATCCCAAACCAACTCTGATCCTCAAGACTGTACCTAAAAACATGGGAAGGGCTGGTGAGGTGGCTTAGCAGGTCAAGGCCCTGGCTGCGATACTATCCGCCTGAGCTTTATCCTTGGGAAGGGATTCCTGTGGTGGAAGGCCAGAAGGACTCCTGAAGGTAGTGGCTAGTTTTTATTGTCATTTTAATAGAGTCACCTCTGAGGAGAGATCCTCACTGCAGGAACTGCCTCCATCAGATTTGTCTGGGAGGGCCCAGCCCACTGTGGGGCAGTGCCATTCCTAGGCAGGCGGGCCTGGGCTGTATAAGAAAGCAATCTGAGTAGGTTGGAGGAAGCAAGCCAGTAAGCAATGTCTCAGCACCACACACACACACACACCCCTTATGACCCTTATCAGTGCCATTCCTAGGAAGCAAGCCAGTAAGCAACGTCTCAGCACCACACACACACACACACACACACACACACCCTTATCACCCTTATTTTATTTTTTGGTCTTTTTGAGGCAGGGTTTCCTTGTAGCCCCAGCTGGCCTGAAACTAACAAGAGATCTGCGTCCCTCTGCCTCCCAAGTGCTGGGATTAAAGGTTTGTTCCACCACTCCCTGCCTATTTTGGTGTTTTAAGACAGGATCTCTCTATAGGCCAGGCTGGCAAATCCTCCTGTTTCCGTCTTCTGAGTGCTGAGAGGTAGGAGCCCCCATGCCCAGCTACTGTTCTTTATTATAAGCTCTTGTGCATTTTTTACATGCCCAGTCGGGAATTACTGTAACTCTTTCATCATGGGCAGAGACTCAGCTTCTCCCTAGCCAGGCTCAAAACCCTGCAAGGCAGTGTAGTGTGGTCTAGTGGTTGAACATGCCACCCCAGAACTGGACTGTCGAGCCCTGGCTCTGCCTTTCACTCGGTCATGGCCTACCTTCCCTTATCTGTTCCAGGAGTCAGTAATAGCACCTCCTCCGTGGGCTGTGCAAGATGAAGTGTCTGTAGGGCTAAAGCCATGAAAAGTGCTCTGTGAATGTTGCTGGCTCCTCCCAGCCAGCATTTGGCCGTCCTTTATGTTTTCAGCTCCAACTAAAAGGGCCTGTTGGTCTCTGTGCCATGTGTGTTCGCTTTTCGCCTTCTAGGAGTGCCTGTTTCTATCTGAGTCCAACCCTTCAAGGCAGCTGGGGTAGCCATCCTTCTTAGAGGTGGTACCCACTCCAGTCTGTCATGTCCTGTCTCTTTTTGTGCAATGGGCACAAATGATGCTCAGTCGATTCTTGTTGATGGTAACCAAGGTAGGTTCCAAGAGGGGAGTTTGTGGCTTCTGAGTTATCTTAAGGATCTCACTCTCCCAACAGAGGCCCCCCTTGATGGAAGTGAAGGGGAACTTAGAGCTGAAGACACCACTGGTTAAGGCCTCCTCCCGACTGCCTCTCCCAGGGAGCAGGCTCAAGAGGGGCCCTGACCAGATGGAGGATGCCTTGGAGCCTGCAAAGGTGAGGTGTGTATGGAGAGCTCTGTGTGTGCATGGGAGTATGTGTTCGTGTGCATGTATGTGCATGCACAAGGGAGAGATATGATGGGAAACCCTTGCAGGTAACTGTACCCCATCCTTATCTCTTTCCAGAAACGGACACGAGGTCTGGGAGCAGTGACCAAAGTTAACATAACCCGCCCCAGAGGACCGCCCCTCCGCACAGCACCACAGACCCATGGCCAGACTGCAGGTGTGCTTCAGGATGATGGGGACCAGGGCGCGGCAGACTGAGGGCAGGAGAGCCCTGCTTCTTTCTTCTTTTTCCCTGTCAACATTTATCTATTTTGAATTGATCATAGCATTTCACTTAGCTCAAAATTCCAAAGGTTGTTGTGGTCAAAAGCTTCCTTCCCACCTTGTCGCCTCATTGCCCCAGTTCTCCCAGGGGCGGCTATGTGAGCCTGGGAAAGTCAGGGAGAGACCGGCATTAAAGCAGATGCAGACATTTTTGCCTACGGTATTCACACAGATGACCAACGTACTTTACACACAACTCTGCTCTCTTGCTCTTTCTGAATAGTGAGTACTTTCTGGTGTAGGAGGGATGCCATTAGGAGCTGGCCAGACTTGGACAAGGGGAGGGATCACATTTTTTTTCTTTTTT